AAAATAGCTTTATATTCAGGTAGAAGTTCAGATTTAATGCTGATACTCTGTTGCAGATATCTGCTGTGATAGTTACTGTCCAAATCATCCTAGACCACTCTTTGCACACTTGCATTACACACTTTTTTGCTCTGTATAAAGCACTGTCACTGTTCCTACTTGCCCTCAAATTTCTAGTGGCAGATGTCATGGCATTTTGATCAATTTCATCACAAACAAGCCAAACAGAACTATTTAGGTAATATTTTGAAAATAAGCATTTTCTGAAAAGTAACCAAAAATGCAGTTGATCCCTTTCAGTGACAGCCAGCAATACCTAAGATCAGCTAACTTCATATACCTATGGATTTTGAGAAGGGAATTTTTCTAGCTCACAGTGTTGTTCTCTTACGTGTTTTTTTATTTTAGATGGCTCTTGAAACACAGGGAAAACAAGACGAAAAGCAGAAAGACTTTATCTCAAGATCTGCAGCTGCACTTAATGGTGATACAACACACCTGAAAAAAGAAATAGTCAGGAAGTCTGAAGGCTGGTTACCTACATCTAGCATATCCAGAGAGAGTGAGATAGCAGACCCACTTCTTCAGCAGATTGATAATATCACATCCTTCATTAAACAAGCAAAGGCAGCAAACAGGATAGACGAGGTCCATATGTTGCAAGAGAACCTGAGGCAGCTGCAGGATGAATATGACCAACAACAAACCTTGAAAGCTATCGAGCTTTCTAAAAAACAGGCAGAAGAGGAAGAGATGCAGAGGGAGGAACTTCAGATCCTTCGTGAAAAAGAGTGGGAAAGAGAACACAAATTGATGTCTCAGCATTCAAGGACACGCTCCTTAGACTTAAGAGAAGTCAAGCACCATCAGCATGAAGTTGCAAAAGAGAATCGGAACTTGACAGCACATGTGTTGGATTTGGATATTACTCAGTTCAAAGGGGAGCAAAGTTTTGAAACTCATGCTGTTGAGCAGCTGCCAGCTAAAGAGCACTTGATCTTCACACTCAAACCCCAGAATGTCCCACAGTGTGACAATGACCAAGCTCGGCCAGCCTGTCTAAACCCCTTTGAAGATGAAGCTGATACCCCTTCATTAGAGGACGATCCTGCTAACCCATTTGCTAAAGACACTTCTCCAGTGATTCCTTTCTCTAACACAGCTCTGCAAAGTGATAGAAAAGAATATAATCCATTTGAAGATGAGGAGGATGATGAGCAAACTAATGGAGCACCTGGCACCACTTCAAACCCTTTTGAAGAGGATGAAAATCCATTTCAAAAGCCTACCAACAATCGGAATTCTGGGAATCCATTTGAAGAGGGATACTCTACCAATCCCTTTGAGGTGGAGGATGGCAATGAGATCTCTGGAGAGGAGGCTATAGAGGAAGAGCTGCTTCTCCAGCAGATAGATAACATCAAAGCTTATATATTTGATGCCAAGCATAGTGGACGAATGGATGAGGTGGAGGTACTGACAGAGAACCTGAAGGAACTGAAACGCACATTAGCAAAGCAGAAGGAGAAATCCAACTGCTGAAGCAGCAGTGGGGCTGGGTAATAATTATTTGAAGTCTACTGTTAAATATGGGAAGGTAGAGCAGATACAAACAGGAATACAGGTCACAAGAGGGAATTGGGAGAATCTTGACTTTTATGCACTTTCAATCAGGCATTTCCACCACTCAGTCTTGAAGGAGTTGCTGAGGTATGCTGCTGGTTCTAAACGCTTACACTAAGAAATGTGAGCATCACTTGTTAAAAACACTCTTTAATGCTAACTGGTGTTACTGTGTGCTTATTTTGGTCAAAGTGGTTAAGTGCTAATAGGGAATTACAATTTGGAAGTGGTTGCCATGTTGATTTGTTGTCTTCCCCCCCTTTCTGTTGCAGTCTTGGCCTTTTGAGTTGGCTGTTGGCTAAAGAGAGATGAAACATTTTATAGAACCTCTGCACCCTCTGGCAGTGACAGTGCAGGGTTGCAGGTAGATCAGCTGCCTGATAGTGTTACCAGAACAGGCTGTTAAAAGACCACTGTGATTCTTTGAGGTGCAGAATATGCAGGGTTGCAGAGCTGTTTTGTGCAATGTTAATGCATAAAGGATTTTAAGACTGAGAAGAACTTTCTATCAATGAGTGACTTTTTAAGGTGTTGGTAACAATCCCCAAGTAACATTTGGATGCTGTCTTTTCATCCCTTTTAGTTTCTGTTTGCTCTGAGCACAAACTATAGTGTACTAGAGAGCTATGCTGGCTTTGGAGACCTGCTTGTGTGGGAACAAATACCTCCTTGTTTCCATGTAAAGAGCATCAGGCTAGCACCATTTCAAATTATAATATAAAGGGTGACCCTCTAATTCCTAATTATCTTATGGAATCTACACATTCCTTTACATTCTCTGGGTGACAGAATGATCATGTTTGTCATATATATGAGACTGGAACCCTCTTCTTGTATCATTCAAGGAACAAAGTATCTTGTTTACAGTGGAGAGCTGAAGGGCCACTGAACTGGAATTCAGTGAAAGCTGTGAGACAAAGTCTGTGGCTACAGTAGTGCCAAACAGCAGTTCTCTTGTGTATTTGGTTCCCATCAGGAGCTGTTGGGAGAATCAGGCATGTCTGTCTTAAAAACGAAGCTCCAAATTGGAGACATCTTGTGCCCCTGTGGTCCAGGGGATGCCTAGGTGTCAGCCAGCAGCTGTGATGACAGAGGGCTTCTGAAAGTTGGTATCTGAAATGCAGGATCACTTCAGGGTGATGACAGCCTCTGTCTCTGCAAAACATGGAGCCTGAGCTGCTCTGATTTTTATCTTGGAAAGGCAGAGGTCTATCATCAGGCATCAGTTTGAAAGGGTGGTGGGGAGGGGTTAGTCTAACGGGTGTATTTATTTGAAGCTGAACTAGAGGAAAATCAGGCAGATCACATTGTATAGCACTAATAGTAGTGGGCTTACTCAGATGTCCCTTAACTGTGTCTCTGATAATATATATCAACATATCTGTAACCCAAGCATTGCATAGTCTTTTAGAGACACAACTAATTACACTACCTAAAGAGCAGGAATTCCAGTTTTATTTTGTAAGTAAATGGAGGAGGGGACTTGTGGAACCAAACCACCTATTTCCTCACTTAATGGCACTAGTCACTGAGGAGGTAAGAGTAGCCAGTGAAGGAGAGCTGATGTTCTTACTGTAGCCTACATCTGCAGTTGAAACATGTGCAGGACTGGTTGTCTTAAGACCATGAAGTTTTTATACGGAGATATATTAGTTGAAACCCTGAGTGTTATTTTGCACCAAATGAAATGACATGTGGAGGTTTCTGGAAGGTCATAAACAAAACTGCAGAGTGGCACTGGATTTATGAAGGTGGCAAGAAAAACTAAGATGGCAAGTGTTTGTTTTAATAGAAATAGTATAAAGCTATTTAAGACAGACTTGTTTGCTAGTCAAGAGGATTGCTCCCTGCACTGTAACCCAAAGATTTTTTTGGCATAAACATGAAAAATACTTCAGTGGTTTCAGCTTTCACATTAAAAAAAGTGTTTTTCTTGGTTGCAACTATCCTGCCTTGTTTGTATTTTCAGTTTAATACACTAATAATTAAAAGTATCCTTATTGTACATGTAATAATGGATTTTTACAAGCAGGTAACTGATTAGCATACCTCATGATCGTTGTCAGTGTTAAATGTGATAGACTAGACATCTGATACTCAAGTCATCTCCAAAGTGAAGACCTTACGCTGGTATTTGGACTGCTGTGAGGATCACATGGCACAAGAGAATGAAGACATCTTAACCATAAAGCTCAGTAATTAGCATTGACTTTTGTTAAAACTGCATGCACTACTCTGTATGGAAACTTTGTAAACAGAGATGAAATAAACAAACATGTTTATTTTGTGTGGTTGTGCGTCCTTGACAGTTTTTATGGGATGCTTGAATTGGTGTGAAATTATCTACTTGATCATTAGCTCAGAAATGCACTTCTACAGTAATTTGCATTTATAAGCCTGACTTAAAGGCACGTGCAATTACCAAATGCCAAGCAATGCACCACAACCCACCAGATGCGAGTATGTACTATTGCAGGTGTAGTGCAATTGTGTGGTGAGGCAGAAGCCATGATGGTTTAGGATTTGTTTTACCATGTGCAGATAGTGTTTGAGATAAGGAGTTCTACAGCAATTCTGGAGTTGGGGCATAATGGACTTGAGGGCTAGACTTTGCTGGAAGCTGATCAATCTAGACACAGTTCTTCTATGTTTGCCTTTTTTTTTTTAAGCAAGTTCGTTTAGGAAATTGTCTTACCTTAAAAGTAGCTTTAAATTTTCTGAAGAAGTAATTGTAAAGCATGTCTTTCAAATACCAACTTACATGTTCTCCTTTACTGCTGATTTTCTTGACTTAATCAGTGCTTCTCAGAGCTACAGTATCTGCAAAGGTTGTACCTTCTTGTAAATGAGACTTTTAGCTGTTTCTGAGTAGTAACTAAATAAGAGAATTTAGCATGTAGTTTGAGTGACATGATCATTTGGCTGTCTTCAGTTAGTACCAGATGGAAACCAGCAGGAACACTTTCACACAAATTCCTATAAATTGTAGTATTCTGTGTCTCTTCTAAGATAAATTCACTTTTTAGTCTAGTCTCTGTCCCAAAGCAAACATGGTCTTGTTTTTGCCATGATCTTAGACATGCAGGCATGAGTAGGAAATAGGGCTGTAATCACTGTTTTCCTTGTTCTGTCTTCCTTTTATGCCATATTGACTGTAATGCTTTGCAAAACTGGCACCAAAAAAGCTATGTTTTAAATTTTTATTTATTTTTCACTTCAGTCATTCTAGTTGTAGCTGTAAGAAGACTTAGGAGACAAGGTTGTCTGTATTACATGAATTTGCTTGTTCCTGTTTCCAGGAACTGTTAGCTCTTGCGTTTCACTAAGTACCTTGACTGTCTAGCCCCAAGGAAAAACCAACTGCATGACTTGAGAGGTCAGGCTGATGCTTCATTTTTCATACCAGCTTTATATTTTCCTCTCATCTCTTTGGGCAGTGGCACAAAAGCTGGGCAGGGAACTTGGCCTTCGATTTCACACATGCATTCTCGCAGATGATACTTCTTGGGCCCAAACGTTGCAGGATGTGATTGTTTCTTCCTTTCTCTTTCCTCTTTTTCAAGTACTTCTCTAGAAAAGAGAGCTGTTTGTTACTATCAGAAGCCTGAATGTCAACAGTTTTTCTTCTTTCCCTGAACACAATTTAGCAGAAAGACAGATTTACAGTTCTTAGCCTGTGGACTTGACCTAGCTCATTCAATTTTGTCTGGGAAAAGTGTGATTATCTTCTGTATACCTCACAGAAGTTTGCAGGGATTGTACTACAATGTATGCTAGACTGGATGTTAGTTATTAAGAGTTACTTACTTGCTTTTCCCCAAGATTTTTTTAATGTGCTCATTTATCTCTTTGTTGGTTTTATCTTCCACGTCAACCAAAACTTGCTCTCCATTGTCTGTTGAGAAAGATTTGTAGTAGTGTATCAAACAGTCCCCTTTCCCTTGCCCTGCTGTTTCACAGTAGCTGCAAGAAGTGCTTTAAACACGCAAACTAAGGCATCTGCTTTTCTAATGTACATTATAACGCTTCAATAGGAAACGCGATGTTCGCCTGGGCCAGCAGGAGGGCAGACGAGCACCCGCTCCTGGTTCCGCATGGAGCCCGGGTGGACGCCAGGCCCTTCCTCCCCCTCCGCAGGGCTAAACGCGGAGCAGCCCGCGCTTCCAGCCCGGCCCGGCTGCTCCGCAGGCTCCCGCCGAGCGCGCAGGGAGGCCCCGCG